GAAGTTTCCAGAAGATGCATCTGGAAGCATCCAGAAGCATCCAGAAGTATCCAGAAACATTCAGAATCATCCAGATGCATCTAAAAGCTTCCAGAAGCATCGAAAAGAAGCATCTAGAATCTTCCAGAACAGGTTCATTTTACTATATAAGAGACATGTAAACCGACATGTAATTCAGTCAGTATATGGAAGTCAATCAGTCAGTATTATCAAGACAGTTTATCGAAGTGAATTTATTAAAGTGTTTTATCGAAGAACATCAATACAAGAAGTGAAATACAATAAGTATTTCATTACATCAATACAGTCCACATCCATCCAAGGCGTTGTGTTCCACAGAGCATTATTGTATCATCACAAGGTAAATGTAACATGGTAAGCCTTGAGAAGCGTGATTATTTATTTCTATTATTTTTATGACTTCAAGTGCAAAAATGGCTCCTGACAGTCTTGGAACTAAAAAAGAAAGTTATTGGCGATTACGTAAGTGGAATGTCACAAAAAAGTATTTGTGATAAATATCGCGTGAAAAAATGGACCGTATCAAGACTATGTTCCAAATATCGTTCCACGGGAAAGTTGGCAGTAGATAACAAAGGTGGAAGGCTGCATTCCACCACTTCTAGAGAGGATTCTATAATTATCAGAGCCGTCAAGAAGGATCCCTGGATATCCTCAGTCGAGATACAAAAGCAATTAGGGCTGCCTGTATCAGACCGAACAATCAGACGACAAGCTGTTGAAGCCGGATTGTTATCTCGACGCCCTGCAAAGAAACCGCTGATTTCATTAAAGAACCAGAAGAAAAGACTCCTGTTTGCTACATCTCATATTGACTGGAATGTGCAGAAATGGCCAACTGTCCTGTTTAGTGATGAATCGAAGTTCAACATCATTGGGAGTGATGGCATTTGCCGTGTACATCGACCGGATGGAAAAAGCCTTGATTTACGTTACTGCCATAAGATCGTGAAGCATGGTGGGGGCAATGTAATGGTCTAGGGGTGTTTTTCTGCTAACGGTCTAGGTCCAATACATCGAATCGATGGAATAATGGACCGTTTCATATATAAAAATATCCTGAAAGATGTTATGTTACCTCATGCTGAATGGAATATGCCAATAAAATGGGTTTTTCAGCAAGACAACGATCCGAAACACACTGCAAAGTAGTCAAGCAGTGGTTTCAAGACAACCACCTATCGGTGATGGATTGGTCGCCTCAATCTCGGGATCTCAACCCTATCGAGAACCTGTGGGAGATCGTCAACCGCAGAATTAATCGTGAAGGTGTTCGTAATAAGGATCAACTGTTTGAACAAATCCAAAAGACTTTGGCAGCAGTTCCACAATGTTTCATTGATCACCTGATCAAATCTATGCCTCAAAGATGCAAGGCTGTGATTGCCAACAAAGGATTTGCCACAAAATATTGATAGCGAAATACAGCTTGGTCAACATTTTGTGGAGTTGCACTTGTTTTATCCAGAAGGAAATCAATTTTTTGATACTTTTGATTAATTAATTTTTGTGTGCAAATAATGAACTTTGTGATGAATAAAACTTGAAAAACGTTGTCTCTAAACAGTTACATAGTTATTTCTCTAAATTGAAAAAATGCAGCACATTTATATAAAGAAACTAAATTAACATTATTTGGTTGCACTTGTTTTGTCTGATACTGTATATATGTATATATATATATATATATATATATATATATATATATATATATATATATATATATATATATATATATAAAATATATATATATATATAAAATATATATATAAAATATATATATATATAAAAATTTTTATCCGAGAATAGGCCCAGTATACATATATATATATATATATATATATATATATATATATATATATATATATATATATATATATATATATATATATATATATATATATATATACATATATATGTATACTGGGCCTATTCTCGGATAAAAATTTTGGCGGCGGTCCCCCTTGCCCCAGAGAAATTAAGCAGAAAATCAGCTTTTTTCTTGCAAAAAATACATTATTTGACGTGAAAAACTTAAAAAAAAAAAGGTTTTCAAATTTTAATTAGGGCGGCGTCCAAATACGGTTAGCACTGTTGGAAACGATATAGAATAGCCCCTTACACATATGTTAATATATATATATATAAATAAATATAGTTATATATATATATGTATATTTATATATATATAAATTATATATTTCTAAATTATATATATATATAAATATATATAATTTATAAATATATAATTTAAGGGAAGGTGAATTAATTTAAAAAAATACCATACATATGTGGAACCTTTGCACAAGTCTCTGTAGCCTTCTACTTTTGTCTGGAATTTTTTAATCCAAAGCGTGATCATTAATTGCATTAGTTGGTGAATTAAATACCAATGGGAAGCAACATAAAATGCTTTATGAAAGTTTGTAAAAACATCAACCGGTTTGTAGTAAAATCTTTTGCTTTTATCAAATTAATTACACTTTTTTGTTAATTCATTGATATTAAATAATTTTCTAATAGGTGTTATATCATGTCTTTTGTAAAAACTTTTATAATTTAAAAATAAATTTACATATGAATGACATATGAAAACAATTAGACAATAATTACCAATAATTATCTAAACAATGACATATAAAGTATAATTTTAGTATATTACATTCTCTCTGACTGCTTTTAAATAATACTTTTTTAACCAATCTGAACTTATATATGAATGCATTGAAAGTAATAATATATGGCTTTAAGATGTAGCTAATGAAACTGCAAAATTTTTTCATTACCAAAAAGTTTACTCCATCTGTACCCACACATTTACTTGGGTCTAACTTTACTAGCATGTTGTAAACTGATTTGAAATCTAATAAATCTTCTATGCAGAACCTCATCCAACTGAACTATATTGGCTTATGCTAATAATGCTAAAGAATACTAAAGTTTTGGAAATTATTTATAAACAGTTTTTAGCATCTTTTTGTAATTTAATTTGTTTTTACTCTTGCATAGCTTTAAGTACTTTTCTGTTAACTTTAACTACTTTATTGTTAACTTTAATTATATTATCTAATAAAAATTTGTTGATATTTTATATGTTTGAAATATTTTATTGGGTGTGTGACAAGTTGAGTTATGTATTCACTTTTGTAGTCTATAAAGTGATTAACTAAAGAGTTTTTTTTTATCATCTAGTTTAATACCATTGTTACAAGTTATAGTGGGTAAATGGAAATTACCCAGTAGTTTATTAAATTATGTTTGCTTAATGTTTTTCACTTTTTGGCTTGTATACTTTCATTTATGGGTTGTTGATAAATGCATCCTAATATGCAGCATTTGTAATATAAAATGTTTATGCAACTTCCTCCAAATTATTTATTTTTTATCAAATACTTTGCATTATTTAATTGTACAGCATATAACTTTCAATATTTGGTATGGATGTAAAAAAATATTATTAACTTATTTCTTTATAAAATTGTTTAAATGAAAATCACCTCAGGCATAATTGTAGATACATTTGTTTTATTTTATTATACAATACTACTTTGGATATTGTTGGTCTAAAGTCATTACGTATCTCAAAAAATTCAATTTTCTGATTTTAATTTTAAACTGTAATTTATCACACGCAATCTGTTAAAACCAAGCCATTTAAAAAATGGGGAAAAAATACTAATTTAAAGTTGTATGAAATTTGAATTTTTAAAGTTCTGAGTTCATTTTTAAAGTTCATCAGTTCAGTGCTTCAGTTACATGAGCAAATCTTAAAAACTTCAATTTGTTGAGATTTTTGATAATAAAGACCAACAATATTGTTTGATTTATTTGATAAAATTAGTAATCAGACTTATTTAATATCAAATAAAGATTTTATGATTGTTCATTGGTACTAAGTTTTGTTACATAATAATTTTATAAATCTGACTGCCGGGTCAGATTCATAATGGGTTATGAATTTGAATCTTAATCCTGACTGAGTTATCAATCAGACTCAAAATTCTTTGTACTTCTTCTTGTTCTTGAGATCATAATCTAAAGAAGTTCAAAGTTCATGTTGCAGATGTTGGAGTTTTTAAATTTAACAACCATTTTTTTTCTGTATCATAGACAACTGTCTATAATGCTATTTTCAATTTAAAGATTTTATGGAAGAGTTGAAGTAATTTTTAAAATGCCTTTCCTGGAATTGTTTTGTTTTGCAAATTTGAACTGAGTATTTTTCTTGTTTTCTAAGGTAATATAGATAGAATAATATAGATAACAAAACTGTTCTTATTACTGATTTCAAATTGAAAAAATTCAAATTATTTTGTTTGTTACAAAATTTAAAAGTTCCAATAAATTTTACTGTGAGACAAGAAGAAAACCTATAAAAAAATAAGGATCTAAAAATTAAAAGTAGGAATAAAAACTTTCATATATAAAACGTAATATATAAAATTACATCATTTTTTTCCTTAGAAAATAGATTTAGAGTAGAAACATTGTAAGATTTAACAAAAGAGAAGAATGTGGAAAACGATAGAATAAAATACATGTTAAAAATGGGAAAGAAGAATGGGTACAAAAGAATGAGGTGAAACTTAACACAGGCAAATGAAAAGATGCAAATAGTGTAGTTAAATAGAAAAAAGTACAATAATTTTAAAAAAAACTTTTTTCCAAAAAAATAACTTATAAAAAACTATTTAAAAACTATGAAGTTTATAAACGTTTTTGTATAACCTTTATCTATTTTGAGTTATTAAAACTTCTTTAATATTTTATCTCACAAAAAAAAAATTGTACTTTATATAGCTAGTTAATATAAATTAATATATTTTTTAGTTTATTTGAAATTACACATAATTTACACATAATACTTATAATATATTATCTATTAACATGTTCAATATATGTAATGAAATTATAAAAAAAGTTACATTTTTGTTACTTCAGTTTTTGATAATTTATCGATGTGATAAAATTTTGTTTAGCTCTTGCAATAGTTGATGAAGAAAAATGGGAAGAGACACAAAGAAAGTATGTAAATCTAAGAAGTGATAAAAAAGATACTGCGCTTCACATTGCTGCTTGGGAAGGTTGTTTAGATACTGTAAAGACCTTGGTGTCTATTGGTGCCAATATAAATATTTGTTCTGCTGCACATTCTACACCATTGCACCTTGCAGCAATCAATGGTGATAAAATTATGGTTCAATATCTGTTAGAACATAATGCCAAAATAAATGTGTTTGATCACCAAAATATGACTCCTACACATAAGTATGTTTTTTAAAATAAACTTTGAAGTGATAATGTCTTACATTGCTAACTTTAAGTTAAGTTTAAAATTAACATGTTTTTTGTATGTAGGGCATGTCAGTTTGGCAGATTAGATGTAATAAAAGTGTTGATTGAACAAGGAGCACAAATTGATTCTAAAGATTGTGATTCTTTTACTCCACTTATGTCAGCTGTTTCAGAAGGTCACAGTGATGCTGTTGAATATTTGTTGAAATGCGGAGCAAGTGTGGCCATAAGTGAAATGAATATGAAAAATGTTCTTCATTTAGCAATAGAAAATGGTCATAGTTCAACACTAAAGGTCCTTTTACAAAATGGAGGGTTTTCTTTAATTAATTCACATGATATGGACTTTAAAAGACCAATCCATTATGCTGCTATACATAATTTTGAGGTAAAAGTAAAAATATTCTATTATAAAATTAATAAAACAAGCACATAATCACACAGTGTGTATATATATATGTATATATATATATATATATATATATATATATATATATATATATATATATATATATATATATATATATATATATATATATATATATATATATATATATATATATATATATATAAGTATATATATGTATTTATGTATTAGGGTTATGACTTTTTTGTGACCCCATGTTCCTGGGTCATAAATTGATGAATATTTGTACGAAATTAATAAAAAAACGTTAATTTTTTCTTGTTGAAAAAGGTCACAAATCAAAAATTTTATGTTTTATGATCGTTACTTTTTAATTCTAATTTTTTTGATTGAAAAGCTATTATGTAGTTTTTAAGCATTTAACAGTTTATTGTTACATCATACAAGCCTTCCCGGAAAGCATGTGTGGTTGCACCCCTTGTATGTCCACATTTTTTAAGACACACTTACTAGTTCGCATTTTTTAACTTTTAAAGCATTTCAATAATTTGTAGCAAAAAGCTTAACTTATCTACTGAAAAAAAAAAACAATATTAAAAAAAGGAAACAAAATTGTAACAAAATAATACAATTTTATAATTAAACAAACTATATAAAATTTTGATAACTTTTAATAACTTTTGTATTTTATTTTTTTTTTTACTCTAGAACTATGAACTATTTTTTAACTATAACTATGAACTATGAACTATTTTTTTAAATATGAACTATGAACTATTTTTTATCAGGGTTTTACATCATGTCATTAAAAAAATATTAGTGTTTTACAAATTTGGGTATGGTTGGGTTTTGGCTATTTGTAGTGAGTCCTTTTTTACTGCAGTATGGAATAGGTCTAAGTTACAGGGTAAAGCATAAGTGTTGATGACGTTTGTCTGACGGGATAAACAAGTTATAAATGCAGATCCTCATCAAAATGCCAGTAATAACAGACACAGCTCTGAGGAGATGTTTATTACTTAATTACTACACAAATTATGTTTACACATTAACATTAATGTTTTTTTTCCTTTCTGAGGCCTTCTATTGTTGTTAGCATACTTCTTATTTTTTAATCAATTTTTTGTTTTATAAGTTTTTTGTCTGGTGATATATTTGTTGTATATCTTCGCTCATATTAGTGTTTATAAAACAATTTTTTTTTTTATTATTATTATTACTATTGTTAAGTACTGTTTTAGGTGCATTGTCTGCCTTATTTATTTTTAAATATTCCTCTATTAATCTTTATTTTTGTCTTGACAACTGTCAAAATATGCTTTGTTCAAAAAATAATTCTCCTTTATTCTAATGTACTTTATTTCTTCCCTCAGGCATTCACTGCTTGTGTGTGACCATTTGGCGAATTTCATATGCCAATGTTTTTAAATAATATTGGGCCTAGCCCGTAAGTATAAAGCTATGCTGTCATAGATACCTCATTCGAAATATGACAACTAATCAAAAGTGTAGAAAAATGAGCAACCCACAAAACCCAAAACATAAGAATATTAACTTTGTTATTTTTTTTTCTTCTTATGTTTATTCTTTTTCACGTCTTGTTGTTTTAATTTTTTTTTGGTATATTTGACGTTTTTTCTCAATACTTATTTAATAGGAAAATCAGAGTATAAATTCCTATTTATTTGTAAAATATATTATTTGGTTAATAAATTTTGTAAATCTAAATTAAAATACGTAAAAATAAATTTAAAAACTTAAAAAAATGTTTTAAATCCTAAAAGTTTCTTTAAAAAAGATTATTAATACATCAACGCAGTTTTTTGAGCGTCAATAACAAAAGTTCATCAGGAAATAAACTATCGGGTTTAAATGGACGATTTGAAGAATCCAACTACAGTGCAGATTATTTCAATAGGGGTAGTAAAAACAACAAAATATTTTATATTTGAACATATTAGTATTAATTACTTTTTATTATTCTACATGAAAAATTTGTTGAAAAATAAAAAAAGTATATTTTAAATATAAATAGCAATTTTAAAATATACTTTTTTTATTTTTTTCTTTTTGTACATTGATAAAAACAGTAGAGTGGCTTTCCTGTACATTGATAAAAACAGTAGAGTGTAGCAAATACATTTGAAAACAAAAAAAAATTAAAATTAAAATTGTCCTTATTTATAGTGCAAGTAATAAAGTATTTCCTTATTACACTGACTGACAAAAGTCGTAAAAAAAAAATTGTTTATCAAAAAACGTTTTTGTTTTTGTTATATTCTTATCTGTTTCCTTTCTCAACTTTGGCAGTAGAAAATAACAAGCATCTAAAAAAAAAGAAAACAATATAGAAAACAATAGCAAAATATTCAGGTATATATATATATATATATATATATATATATATATATATATATATATATATATATATATATATATATATATATATATATATATATATATATTTTTTTTTTTTGACAAATTGTTTCTTTTTTTAATTTTCGATTTTTCTTTAGTTTTTTTGTTTAAAATATTCTATTTTGTATAGTATTTGTTTCCTTTCTTTGAGTATTGCTGTTTTACTCTCTGTAGTTTCTTATATGTTTATTTTGCTGCAAATTCTCAAAATGCTTACTATATAAAAACATAATCAATTTGTCAAAGAAAATTACTTACGCATGCACTTTCCGGAGAGGCTTGATTATAACACTCTTAATTACAAATAAATATAAAATTAAAAAATTAAGTAACAGTTCTACAAGTACGAAAAGGATATATAATGTCCACACACACACATCTGTGTGTGAGTACAATGAATTATTTTTACAAACTTATAATGAATCTTGTAAGTTGTTTATTCCTGTTTGGGACATTAAAATGAAGAACAGTCAACCCTGGTTAAATGCAGGAACAAAAAAGTTAGTTAAGCTCAAACATTCACTATTTTATTCTAATTCCTATTGGCAAAATCAAGAAGCTCGAAAATATGTACTAATGTTAAAAAACAGATCAAAAGATCAACTCAAGAGTATGAATTGGATTTGGTAAAGAGAGCAAAGCTTGTACCAAAACCTTTATTATCATATGTAAACAGAAAACAAAGTAATAAACCCCTAATTAGAGAAATCAAGAATAACAATGATCAAATAACAAATGAAGTTTCAGAAGTTGCAGGCGTATTAAACAAGCAGTTTTAAATCAGTCTTTATTAACAATAATGATAAAGTAATGTCCGAATTCTTAAAAAGATGTGAAAAACAATGCGACTGCAGTAATTTTTCTGATTCGATAACTGGTGTAACAATACTGAAAATGTTAGTAGGTTTAGATCAGCCGAAAGCTATGGGTTTTGATGAAATTAGTCCATATGTTTTGAAACATGCTGCAGAAGGTTTTGTTGATCCAATAGTTTATATTTTCAAATTAAGTTTTGAAACTGGATGTGAACCATACCATTGGTCTGTTGCAAATATATCACCAATTTATAAAGGTGGATCAAAACTTGATCCAGGAAATTATAGACCAGTCTTGTTAACATCAGTAGTTTGCAAAATTTTGGAAAAACTTATTTGTGGGGTAATGTTTGGAACATTTAGCTTCAAATGGTTTTATTTCTGATGAGAAAACTGGTTTTGTCCCAAACAAATCCTGCACTGCAAATTTTATTTAGACTATTGATACCATTACATATGAGATATCAAAGGCTAAACCTTTATGTATTGTATATCTTGACTTTGTAAAAACTTATAACTGGTAAAATATATAACTCGATTGAAAGTTTCCTTACAAATAGGAAACAAAGAGTCATTATTGGGAACTCAGTTTCAGAATGGTTATCTGTTACCAGTGGCGTTCTTCAGGGTTCGGTTTTGGGTCCCATTATGTTTCTGCTCTACATAAATGATTTACCTAAAGTTGTGTTAAATGTATTTAAAATGTATGCTGACGATAGCAAAATATTAGCTATAGAAGATTCCTTGGATAAGGAAGCAGAAATTCAAACTGATCTCGATAACATTGTGAAATCATGCAACGATTGGCGAATGGCGAACTTAACTACAAAAAATGCAAAGTGATGAGATTTGGTAATCAAAATGTTTGACAAGGAATTGTTAAAACATGTACAATGTTTTAACAATTCCAACAATTCCATTGACACTGTTTTAGAGAGGTCTGGGGATTTTTGTACAACCAGATATGAAGTGGAAACATCAAACACAAGTATGTGTGAACAAAGCTTTAAAAATACTGGGGTTGTTAAAAAACGCTTTCGAAAGTAGAGATTCTAAAATTTGGAAAATTCTGTACACGACCTATGTGTGACCTCATCTTGAATTTGTGGCTCCAGCATGGAATCCACCAAATCTAGCAGAAATTTCAATGCTCGAAAAAGTTCAACACAGAACCACCAAAATACCATTTTCAAATAGGATGCTTAGTTAAAAAGAACGACCAATTAAAATGGACTTAACGACTTTAAATCTTAGAAGAAAACGGGGAGACTTGATTCAGTTACATAAGATATTAAACAATTTAGAGTCTGTTAACCTTTTTTTTAAACCAGTTCTTAATTCAAGTATTAAATTAGTTGGCCCGAGTGTTACAACTAGAGGTCACAATCACAGAATCCAGATGCAATATTACACCCCTTGTGAAATAAATGACTTTCATGCATCCATTAATTCACGAATCCTTTTCTTCTTGAACACAGCATGCCAACTTTGGAATAAACTTCCGGATGTCGTTGAATTTGAAGTCTGAGAATTTGAACTAATTTAAAGTAAATCTTGACAAATGGCTTGTGAAAAATGAGAATACATTGGTTTAAATTAATTAAAATATATTGAGCTGCTACAGCTTAAGATTGCTACATCTCAGCTTGTGGATAAGATCCACACAGTTTTACCACTAACTATATATATATATATATATATATATATATATATATATATATATATATATATATATATATATATATATATATATATATATATATATATATATATATATATATATATATA